AGCAGCGGAGCAAAGATCCGTAAGGGGCAGCTGGGCAAAGAGGGAAGCGATGCGTGCGGAGCTGACAGCGCTGCAGACCCGCTGCCCACAGACAGCACCGGGGATGGTTTGTGCTGGAAGCGACCTTAAGGATCATCTCGTTCCCACAGCACGGGCAGGGACAGCTTCCACCATCCCGAGCTGCTCAGAGCCCCATCCAAGCTGGCCTTGGACACGGCCAGGGATGGGGCAGCCACAACTCCGACCAATCGGTGCCAGGGCCTCACTACGCTCACAGGGAAGAATTTCTTCTTCACAGCCACACGAGACCTACAGTCTGAAATTATCCCGACGGGGAAAACACCACAAGCGTTCAGAGCCCCCAACAATAACAACAGGAACAATAACGAGAACAGACAGCCGCGGGGCTGGGAGGGCAAAACGCCCTGGCACAGGCGCCAACACAGCCCAGGGCGCGGCAGCCGCGGGACGGCCCCGGAGCCTCCGCAGCACCACGGGGCTCCCGGCACCGCGCGGCCCCGGACAGCGGGGACACCCCGGGACACCGCCCCGCCCGGAGCGCCGCGGGCGGAGCCGGGGCTGCGCAGGAAGGGACCCCGCTCCCGGCCGCCCCCCTGCACTCACCACGCTGAGCTGTGCCCCCATCGCTGCCCCGACACACCGCGGGCACCGCCCCGCTCCGCGATAAACCACGCCGGGCCCGCCCCGCCTCGTGACGACACACACAGTGCGGGCCCCGCCTCTCTCGTGACGTCACGAACCGCGATGAACAGCGCCTGTCCCGCCCCGCGATGTCACGTCCTGCCCTGCCCATGACGTCACGCCCGGTTCCGCCCCGCCATGGCTGTCCTGGAGCCGTATGAGGGCAGCGCGCCCCAGCGCCCTCCTGCGCTTATGTTACCTGCCTAAGTAATCACAGACTGCCGCGGGTTGGAAGGATTGTCCGGATCATCCAGTTCCAACCCCTGCCATGGGCAGGGACACCTGCCACTAGCCCAGCTGGCTCAGAGCCCCATCCAGCCTGGCCTTGGGCACTGCCAGGGATCCAGGGGCAGCCACAGCTGCTCTGGGCACCCTGTGCCACGGCCTCACTGTGAAAAATGCATGTAGTTTATGATTGGCTTTTCGCAAATATTAAAATGAATATTATATGTGTTGTGTTAGAAAGAAACGCTGTATTAATTCTCTTAAGTACTGTGTTAAATACATTTTTAGGTTATAAAAAATGTAAAAATAGAAACGATGCTATATAAGATACATTTTTAAAAGAAAGGACTCGCAGCGAGATAGCAGCCACCGGACACCTAAATCTTTTAGAGAAAAAGAATTTATTGCTCTCTTATCAGAAGAAACGAACTTCTTCCTGCCTCAAAGGCGCTGTTAGGATTCAGAGGCAGAAGTTGATGATGGCCAGAGAGAATCCTGTGTTTGAATGGAATTTATGCATCATGTATGAGGTGTATGAATATGCAACAGGCTGTTGTTTTTAAGAGTTAATCCTCTGTTAACGGGTGTCCTTTTTCAGGCATGTGATGCCCAGAAAATGGTACGTGGACGTCCAAAACTCTTTGTTTTTATTGTCTCATATTGTCCTAATTCAATTTGTCCAAACTGTTATTACTCTCATTGTGTTACTATTTTTTTAACCATTTTATTACTATTAAACTTTTAAAAATTTTAAGGACAAGTGATTGGTGTTTTTCACACTCACCATCTTCACAGGAAAGAATTTCTGCCCAATATCCAATCTAAACCTGCTCTCTGTCAATGTGAAGCCATTCCCCCCTGTCCTGTCACTCCAGGCCCTTGTCAAGAGTCTCTCTCCATCTTTCCTGTGGGCTCCCTTCAGGCACTGCAAGGCCACAGTGAGGTCACCCCAAAACTTCTCCAGGCTGAATAATCTCGGTTCTCTTAGCTTTAAGGATTAATTAATGACAATGTTTATCCAAAAAGCACCAGAACTGAGCTGTGCAGTAAGATACAGTTTCAGCCAGGCTCCCTTAAATATTGGTTTACACCAATGTGTGAAAATTAGTGACTAATAACCACATGTGTCTTTGTGTCTGCACTAACCATGAAACACTTTAAATCTTTTTAATTAATATGTCTTCACATATTATGTCCTCACAACATGCCTTCAGTGATTCCTAGACAGTTTCTCCTTACAAAATCAAGAAAGGTGTATGCTTGGCAGTCCTAAAAACAAAATAGTAATTAAAAAAATGTCCTCCCTTATCTCCTAGGCTCACACAGAGGGGCTGAACCCCTGTGTGCCCAAGCAGATATTTTCTTTCGCTCTCATGGTTTGCTGAGTGTGCAGCTGGCTCATCTGGCTGTGAGAACATAAGTAAGTCCATCATGATTAACTTATTAAACTTGGGAATTACCTCTGGGAAGTGAAAGAATATTAACAGCCCAACCTAATGCTAAGAAGGTTGTGCCTCAGTCCATGTATGCACATTTAGCTGCAAGGATGGAGTTATTTATTCCTGTTTTTTCTATGACAAGAGCATGCCTGGCTCTGTAATCCTCATCGTTTTCTCTTTCAGGACGGCAGCTCCTCCACCAGAAACTCCCCAGTAAGTGCAGGGATTGTAACACCACTGGCTACAGAGAAGGACTCCAGGACCCAGAGGCTGAGGCTCAGGAAAAGGGAGATAACTGAGACAGGCACAGGGATCCTGGAGTTTGTTGGGAAAAAATCTGGCAGGAGAGGCTCCAACTTGAATATTAATATTTAAGAAAGGGTGGAATCCTCAATGTACCCATGCCTGGCTTTCACTGTGCTCTGACCTGGCTGGCTTCCAAGTGACCAGCCCAGGCTCTGTCTCCACTGCTTTTCAGTGTGGGTCAGCTTGTGGGTCTTGCCAGCAATAGCCAAAGCTCCCATGGGAATGTCCAGCATCCTCAGTGTCTCATAAGCTTTCCTCTTTCCATGCAAAATGTGACCCATGCAAAGCCCTGCTCTGCCTTTTCTTGGCCAAGGGCTAAGTGTGCTGCAGCTCTGCAGGGTGCTTGTTCCAGCTGGCAGCTTTTACTCAGTCTCCCTGAGCGAGCCTGCCCAGCCCCAACGTGCCCTTTGTGCTGGTGTGAGCCCTGCCTGCTTTGGTCTGGAAGCCTGTAAAACTCAGTGTTCTCACTCACACCTCTCTAGATTAACCAAAGAGGTTTAAATAACTCTTTCTCCCCTCAGGGAAGTGTAAGAACCAGACTAGAGGTGACAAACCAACACTTATTAATTGGCCACTGTGACCAGAAGAGTAAAATATTTAGGCCAGAAATGCCTAGAGATGCTTACATGCTTTAGAAACATGTTTTATTCCCAGGATCTCCTTGATCCTTTACGTTGGCAAAGGTCAGCTTCTGATGCTTGAGGTGGTGGTTTTGTCAGGCAGAACTTCTAGAAGTTCTCTGCCCTCCTTTGGAAATGCTGGCTGTGTGTGAGACAGCACCAAACAGTCCCCCCTTCCCTTGGGACAGAAAAAGAGGAACAGAGCACAGAGGCAGCCTGGCCTCAACTCTTGCACAAAACCCATGTCCGCTGCCCTGTGCAAGGGGTTTGACAAAGCACTGACTGGGCTGTGCTGCAGAGGAAGCCAATATCTATAATAACACCCATGTGGATACCAAGGCTGCTCTCTGCTCACTCTTTTTCTGCATTAGACCCAGGAATGACCCAGACTCTGTGCTGATCTAATTGGCCTTTGATCAGTGTTTAGTTTCTGTTGGCAAACACACTCTTTCAGTCTCCTCAGGATCTCTGCATTTTTCTTATATCAGTGTCCAAATCAAAAGACAGAAATTTTAAAAGACTTACAAGTACACAGTTTGTTGTGAAATTGCTGGTGATGCTACTGAGCTGTAATTTTATTAAAGATTAACTTAAAACCATTGAGTCCAGTGATGATGCTGCTTTGTAAGTGAAAATTCCCTGGGGTCCCATCTGGGCTCTTTCTCCTAATGTGAGTAAAGAAGTTGCATTTTTTTAATAGACAGAATATGCCCACTGGCTTTTGTATTTTAAATGAAAGCACAGAAGAAGATTTCCTGCATTCAGTTGATAAACTGGTGCAGTTGACAAATCCAGGACACTGGATTTTTGTCATTTACCTTGTTTACCCTGAACTGCAATAAATACTAACCAAAGATGGTTAAAAAAAATCTGTTAAAATTAAGGATATTCAGTCTTGAGATACTTTAATTTACCCTACCAGTGTCAGAAGGAAGCTTCACTCTTAAGTGTTTTAAGTGGGCTACATGTCTTGTTCCCTATGCAATTTTGTGTGTTTTCATCACCAGGGGCTTTATTTGGCCCTAAATTGATTCTTTGAAGGGGTTCATGGACCAGAGGTGCAGAGCCACTTGTATGACTGGTAGCAAGCATCAAGCCATTCTGGCTTCTCTATATACATATATCTAGTTTAGACCTAAAGCTATGCTTTTCAGAAATTTATTATGATGAAGAAGAAGATGTCACAAATACCAGCCAAACAACAAGAAGCTTCAAACCATCTGAGGGTTGATTTAGGCATATAATAAATGCAAGCTTCCCAGGACAGGCATCAGCACCTGCCACTACTTGCTTCCAGTGGCACACGCAAAGTTCTGTTTCTAAAACATTTCCTGCTTATATCACCTCCTAATATTAATAACATCACACATAGCAGTTTCAGCTGTAACTAGAGATGCATTTGTTGGGGTTTTGTCCTTCACCACCTTTGATTTTTTTTGATCTCAGATTAATTATCATCTTCCCTTCTACTGTCAAATAATAACTGGATACAGAATAACAGGACTAGAATGTCCCATCCATTTCAAGGCTTTCAGATTGCACTGCTTCTTTCTGGGCTAAAACTTCCTCCAGAGACATAAAATCCATTTGGCAAGTAATCCATGATGCAAGAGCAGGTGAGGCAGGAGCCTGCTACAGGTGCCTCTGAGTTCCTGGTGTGAGTGTTCCTGCGCCGAGAGCAGTGTGAGTTCTGGTGCCATCCTCAGACTCTTGTGGGAACTGGCACCTCCTGCCTCTCCTGTGCCTTCCTGCCAGGCTGAGTGACAGTCCTCAGAGGGCAAGAGCAGTGGGAGGAGAGCACAGCTCGTGCCTTGGACGGCAGGAGGATTGCTGAGCTTCTGGCTGCCTTCTCCCTGCTCAGAGTATTTCCCAAGAGAAAAACTTCTTCCCAGCATGGCAAGTGGGTAAGAGACAATCATACTGGTTCTCCTCTAACAGGCAGGGTAGGGGGGATGGGATATATTTTTCTCTGCAAGGGTGAATATTACATGACATGCAGCACAGCAAGAACCCTCTTCCTCTTTCTATTCTGTTTTACTGACTCACTGCAGTGTACAACATCAGTGAGGCTACTGAACCACTAGCTTAAAATAAAGGTGATGGTAAAATCAGATTGTGCTTAAATATAGCTGATAACTCAGAATCAGTTCTTCAGACATCAGTTGCCTGCCCAGGACCTTGGCAGATTGTTCCACTCTCATGTTTGCCCCTTGGCACTGCCTTTTCCTTTCCACATACAAAACCTGCCTTATGTGTTTTTAGGTATTTTAAATACTGGCTTTACATTAAAAAAAAAAAAAAAAAAATCACTGGACTCAAATAGAAGACATAGGCACTGGCATAAGATGAAAATCTAGAGAATTGTTTCTATCTTCTGTTTGTCATAAATTGTTTCTATCTTCTGTTGCATGTATTTCAAACTTTTGAACTAAGTTTTTAAAATTGTTGGAAACTTCTTGTAAATGGCTGCTCATCAGATGTTCCAAATCCCTTTCTTCTCTATATAAAGGTTAAGGGCTGTATAAAATTGCATATTGTTGAAAGGATCTCTGAAAGTAAATTTACTTTGGAGAAGGTGCACAATCAGACCTTATTTGCAGGGCTTCGTGTGACCCATTTGCAATACCTGTTCTTCTTGCTTTAACAGTGTTGACTTTCTCACATTATTTGCCACTGACCTTTAGTTCTTTTCATGTCTTGAATAATTTCTGATTTATAGCAATAAGGTCTTGTTCTTGGAGCATTGTTTTGGGTAGAATGAAGAAGAAAATGGAGATGTTATATTCTTTGGCTCTAAACACACTGCTGGTGCATCAATTGCTATTGCAAAGAGCCTCTCCCAGGTTTTCTCAGCTCTTAAAAGTGCAGACTGAGTGTTGTTACTGGGGTGGTGCTTTGCTCACATGAGCACATCCAAGCAAGGCTCCGACTGGACAAAATCCAATTGGCCAGACTTCTTGCACAGAAATAATTAACTCTATGTGCAAGCATAAATCTCACAACTCAGAGCTTTCACACAGGGAAAAGATTGAGAACTGATGATAAAAATCTCTGGTTTGAGTCACCCATGCCATTGTGTTGAAAACCAGGGAGAAAATATGCAATACCATTTTTCAGAACAACCGTACCTACATGCTGGTGTGTCACAGATTTGCATGAAGGTGTTGGGCATCTTCTCATTTAAGTTGTCTCACCTTGCATGTGTAAGATAAGTTTATGGCCCTTTTAAAAGAGATACCATCCAGAAAGAGTTTTACAAGGTGACTGTATAAGTTGCTAGACAAGTTTTTTGCATTGGCAAGGGTATATTTTTTCAGTCTTCAGTTACAGCATAAACAGGTGCTCTCTCTGTTTGGAAACTAAAGGGACAAGAAAGGAGAGAAAAAGTCCATGATTATATTGTGGTAGCACCTAGCAGAGATAAAGGACAGTAGAGGCTTTTACATTGTAAAATTTAGTGATTTCAATTTTGGACAAGTTTCCTGAATGGAGAAATACTAGTAGGAGAAGTATATTTATAGAACAAAAATAAGGATTGAAATCTGTAATACGCTCTTATTGTAACCCTCTCCTGAATAGACACCTTGAACTCATGTGATATTTCATAATATTTCTAAAGGAGGAAGATCAAACTGCTTTATAAACACAGGACAAATCTGCTAAGAGCAGACTGAGAGCAAGTGGGCATTAAGGAGATGATAGATCTCTCCTAGATCGGTGACTGTTACCAAAATATACACATAGTAAAAGATATGTATATAAAATATGTATCTGAGAAACAAAATACTATAATAGAACCCAAGTGACACCCTCTCTAATGCTCCACATACCTTGGATGTTCAGCAGGCAGCAGACTCCTCTTCACCAGCAGTAATCCCTTCCAAAGTAAAAGCTCTATTAAACAGAATATGATGGTTCTCAAACAGGATAAACTGGTACAGAGGAGCAGACAGCAGGAGGGTCCAGAATACAGCACAAAAGGGATCCAATAAAATTAGGGCAGTCCAAGGTAAAGGCTTGAAGTTTGAAAAACATTTCCAGTACTTTTCTGTGAGCTCACCAGTCCTGTTGCTGGGCCTTCAGCTGAGCTGCTGAAGTGAGCAGTTTTCTGTTTGGTGTTGGTTTGTAGGCTCTTTCAAGAAGGGCTTGCTCTTCATAAGACTCCAGAAAGAATATGGAAGCATGGCAGGAAATAAATAAAACTGCTGCTGTTGGTGGCTACTAAGGCAGCTCCCTGGGACACTGAGCAAGGGCCTCGTTTGCTGACAATGCCCCACTGACTGCACAAGCAGAGCCTGGGTTTTGGGCAAAGGCTGAATGAAGCTCCTCTGTGAGATCCATGCAAGCACCTGTTCCCAGCACAACTCTTCCTTCACATTCCTGTTTATCCAGGCAATGAACATGTCCTTTGGCTACCAAAGTACAAAGTTTTACTTTCTTCAGGTATTGACATGTGTTCAAGGCCAGTTAAAAATTCAAGTGATCTTTTAGATTTCCCATCCACAGCTATCCCAAAGTACCAGAGAACCCAAGGGAAAATGGACTGTGCCTCCAGCACCGCTCAGGAGCACAGTGGCTCAGATCCACAGCTGCAGGCAGGCTGAGGTGTGGCAGCTGCTGTAATTATGGTTATCTGCCCTGCCCTTATGCCTTTGCCACAATCTTTCTTTGCTCTTCCTGCTGGAAAGCATGAAATTTGCCACTGGTAGGAGGATGCAGCAAATTATCTCTACCCTTAGCAGAACAGAAGGAGAAGGCTTAACGCTAATCAGAGATTCAGAGCTGGGCTTGAATGTGCCTTGGTTCAGTCTGGGAAAGCCAGTTGTTAAAATCATGGCAGGTTGTTCCAAGAGCTTTTTAAAAGAAATACCAATTGTTGACATATTTCTGTACTTTTCTTCTTTTCTGGAAAACATCTCTTTTGGAGGAGAATTCAAAATGATCAGGTGGTTCTTCTCTGGGTTTGATGCATGTGTTGGTTTGTAACTGATTGATTCCCCTGTCAGTTAATTAAAGATTAAGCCAACTCTCGTTTCCTCTACTCTGTTGTCCTGATCCCCTCTTAGTGTGAACATAATGTACTTGAAACTGGAGCTACCTCTGGGCACTTCATCACAGTAACAACCTGTCATGGTTTGACATTGGCCAAATACCAGGCACCCACAAGAATCATTCCCTCACCCTCTCCTATCACAGCTAGGCAGAGGAGAGAAAAAAATGAACAAAGGGTTCATGAGTTGAGATAGGGACTGTGAGAAAACACTCCCAAGGCCAAAACAGGCTCAGCTTAGAAATACAAAGTGAATTTATTACTAACAGAGTCAGAAGAAGAGAATGAGAAGCAAAATAAGCCATTAAAACACATTTTTACCCCAAGCCCCTCCCTCCTTCCCACCAACAGTGCAGGGAGGCAGGCCATGGGGATTTTTTTGTTAGCTTATCACCCAAGGTCTGCTGCTGCTGCTCAGGAAGAGGAGCCCTTCCCCTGTGAGACTGTGGGGTTCCTTCCCACAGGAGACAGTTCTCGGTGAACTTCTCCAGTGTGGGTCCAAATCTCACGAGCAGTAGTCCTCCCAAAACTGCTGCGCTATGAGTCTCTCCCATAGCAGTTAGTCCTCTCAAAACTGCTGCAATGTGGGTCTCTCTCTTCACGGGGTGCAGTCCTCCAAGGACAGCTTAGGATCAAGGGCCCCCTCTCTCCAGTGGGTCTTCCACTGGATCATGGCCTCCTCCAGGTATCCACCTGCTCCAGCATGGGCACCTTCCCCACAGGCTGTGGGTGGATCTCTGCATTCCCCATGGATCCCCATGGGCACAGCTGCTTCACCATGGTCTCACCAGGGCCTGCAGAGGAACCTCAGCTCTGGTGCCTGGAGCACATCCTCCCCTGCTTCTGCACTGACCTTGGGTCACCATCTTGTTTCCCTCACATATTCTCACTTCCTCCTCTGGCTAGGAATAGAGCTGTGCCTAATTTGTGCTGATTTTCTTCTTGAATCTGTTATGACAGAGGCCTTACCATCACCTCTAACTGGCCCAGCCTTGGCCAGCAGCATGTCCACCTTCAGAGCCACCAGGCATTGACTCTTCTGGGCACAGTGGAAGCTCTCAGCAGCTTCTCACAGCAGCCACCTCTGTGCTCTTCCCAGCTACCAAAAACCAGGCCATGCCAAACCAACACACAACCCTACCTAAATTTTGTTGATAGATGAATGGACAGACTTCTGAAAACTGTACACTATTATGCTGGACAAGACTCCATTAAAAATTAGGGAAGGAGAAGCTGGGGTAGGTATGTGCATCAGTGATCAGTACATGATGGATTTTTATTGTATGCAGACATGGCGTTTAGAGCCTTACTTACCCTTTGTCACCACTACCTTTATGCTGGGATAATCCCATGGCAAAGGAAAACATTCTATGTGGAATCTTGCTTGAAGGAAGAAGGGAAGGGTTTATAAGGTTGCTGTGAGAAAAGCATCATAGGGAGAATTTTTTCCTTCCTGTTCTGTTGGCAGTGTTGCTGCATGCTGGGAACAATCTCCTGCTTGCCTCTGGTTTGTGCACAGAATCCTCGGGAATGAAACACCATCATCTTCCTTTTTGTTTCATTGCATGGGAAACCACAGGAACTTATCAACAAGAACTTTGATGTCTGACAGTCTAAGGGAAGACTCAGGTTTCCTTACAGGTTACCTGCATTCTTTAAAAAGGAACATGGACCATAAGGATTGTGGGTTTCACAGTGGCACTGAAAGGAACGTGTGGGGAGAAAATGAAACTTGATGCCAGGATGATATCCAGAACATGGAGAGGCATTAGAAGACTCTACAAATGTCTTGCAGAAATAACAGCACATGCCTTTTTTTCTGCCTTACATGCATTCCTCTGTATTTTTTGGCAGGAAGACCTTAAATAATGAACTTTCTAAGCTTTTCAATGAGATGTGGGATGCGGATGTTCACCGCCTTAGGCCTGGGAGAGACTACACAATTGATGTGCAGGTAACCAATTGCCAAGCCAGGATTAAGGGCAGTGTGGTGCTGCAGGAAAAGGTGCCTGCAAAAGTGTTTCATATTCCTAGAGTCCCATACTGTTGTTATCAGATTTCTAGCATCCCATACCTTCTGGGTGGTTTTCTCACAAGCAGCTCTTCACAGCAGTGTTGTTCCTCCTTCATCAGGGCTCCTCCAAAGCTTACCCCCAACTGGCCAACCTACCCCCTTTTATCCTAGTTATCTTTACTAGCCACAGCTGCAGCCCACTGAAGGACATCGCAGCTGCAACCCATCAAGAGCAACTGGGACTTATCGGGGCAGGGCCATCTCTACAATACATATGTCTCACTGTGACTCAAAGGCCACCTATACAAAAGTGCCTTTTGCTTAAAAAGTTGCCTGTGCTTTGTCATGTCCAGTGGGGAAAGCATCCCTTAGGAGAGGGAACAATACAGAGAATACAAATGGCTCACACTTACCTTGGTTACAAGTTGAGTCTTTCAGGTGTCTGTCTTGGGTCCTGTATTATTTCATCTCTCTATCCGTGAGCTGGAGGAGGAACAACTAGCGTGCAGCCCTTCCAGTTTTGCAGATAACAGCAAACTGTGGTGATGAAATTGGTATGCTCAGATGCAGGGCTTCTCTTCCACTGGACATAGGCAGGCTGGAGAAATATGCTAGTGAAAGGAACACCATGAAATTCAACAAAAACAAAGGAACAGGATGCTCAGAGAAGCTGTGAAATCTCCATCTTTGGAGGCTTTCAAAACCCAAAAAGATGACTCCCTGAGAAATAGTCTAAATTCAGTGTTAACCACACTTTGAGCAGCACTAGAGATGTTCTGCTCCACCCTGTGTGTTTCAGTGTGAATGACAGCTTGTGTGTGGGGTGTGGGTGACTTGCAGTGAGGGAGAAAGGGAGATAGGTCCCCCAAGTCATTCTTAGGGGAATAAGAGAGGAATTTGAGAATTTCCTGGGTTTCTCTGGGAGAGCAGGGAGTAGCAGAGAGGAGTGGGTGAAGATCTCAGGACTGTTGCTTCCAGTCCCAGGGAAATGTGAGAGAGGAGTGAGAGATTTCATAACCAGCCATTTCACTCCTTGCTAGCTCAGTGCAGTGCAAACATGACCATGTGTTTTGGCCACAAATTGCAATAGGCCAGAATATTCACAATCCAATTTTCTACTCACACAAGAACTCACTTTATTCTGATGTTACTCAAACGCTTTATTCCAATGTTACTCAAACACTTTGTTCCAATGTTGCTTCATATTGTAACAGATAATTTCCTGTTGCTGATAAACTTGAAATAGTGGTATCTACCTCAAGCCAAATTGTGTGTGGGGAAAACTTCTGCCATATGGTTTCTCCATTTGTCAGAACAAGGCTCTAGTACCTCTTGCCTGTGTTAACAAGCTGCTACTCATCTACTGTCTTCTTTCCTTCAGAAAGCCCTTTATGAAATAGAAATTTGAAAATTATCAGGAAAGCCTCCTTAAAATTGCAGACACAGAAGGCAACCAAATCTCCCTGATATTTATATGTGGTGGGAGGGACCACATTACTTGCTCTACATTACTTCTGTTTACCATTTGTGATTTATATAGTATAATAGCACAGCTGGTTACTGAGCAGAACTGAACGATCACATGGGCCATTACAATCATCTCTGAGGAAACTGAAATTACAGGCTCTTACAGATGTCAGAGGTACTCTTTTTTCTTTATGCTGGCAGTTCTGTAATATTGTCTCTCATTTCACAGGAAGACAATTCCTAGCAAAGAATGCTGATGGCATTATGGGGTTTGGTTTGATTATCACAAAGGCAGGCACTGTTTCCTCTAAGGATATCTTACTCCTTATTTTCCTCCATTTTTGCTAGGGAAAAGCAGGTCCAGCACAGCAAGGGGACACGGCTGTCCAGGACAACGCAGCCAGACATCTGTTTCACAATGTAAATGAAGAACGCCTGAGGAGCATAAAAACTTTTGCAAGTGAGACGTGTTCTTTTGTTAATAGTGGATGTGATATAAAAATCTGTGCTGTATTTGACATGTTTGCCTAAAATATAACATTGTATATAATTTGGATGGTGGTGAGGATCATCAGACTGGAGGTCATTTGAAGGGAGTTTTTGTAACAGTTTCTTGGAGATTACCTGTACCCGAGTCTCGGGAGGAGGATCCTTTTGTGCCCCAGGCAAAATCTGAATTCTCTGTCTCTTTCCACTACAAAGTAAACGGGATGAAACACTTACCAGCTCCAGAAGTGGCCCAAGGGAATCTCACAGGCTTCAACAAGACCAAGTGTTGGAGCTTCACCTGGGTCACAACAGCCCCTGGGATCAATCCAGGCAGGGGATGAGCAGAGGGAGCAGCCCTGGCAGATGGACCTGGGGGCTGTGGGTGAGAGCTGGCCCTGCCCCAAGGCAGAGCCCCCTGTGCTGGGCTGCACCCAGAGCCCCAGGGCAGCAGGGCAGGGGGGATTCTGCCCCTCTGCCCCTCTCTGCTGAGCCCCCTGAAGGGCTGCATCCAGCCCTGGGCCCAGCACAGCAAGGACAGGGAGCTGCTGGAGCCAGGCCAGAGCAGGGACACCAAGGGGAGCAGAGGGATGGAGCAGCTCTGCTGGGAGGAAAGGCTGAGGGAATTGGGATTGTGCAGCCTGGAGAGGAGAAGTCTTTGGGGTGCCCTCACTGTGGCCTTGCAGTGCTTGAAGGGAGCTCACAGGAAAGATGGAGAGAGACTCTTGACAAGGGCCTGGAGTGACAGGAGAAGGGGCAATGGCTTCACACTGACAGAGAGGAGGTTTAGATTAGAATTTAGAAAGAAATTCTTTCCTATGAGGGCTGTTGGGACATAATGGTGAACAGCTTGTCCAGAGGAGCTGTGGCTGCCCCTGGATCCCTGGCAGTGCCCAAGGCCGGGCTGGATGGGGCTTGGAGCAGCCTGGGATAGTGGAAGGTGTTCCTGACCATGGCAGGGAGTTTGAACTGGATGATCTTTAAGGTCTCTTCCAACCCAAACCATTCTATGATTCTATGCACTGAAAAAGACACCAAATTCATCTTTGCTCCCTTACTTACAACTTCCAAGCCCTTTCAGATAGTACCAGACCCACAGCTAGGTCTTGCATTTCTGTTGGGGGCTACACTTCAGCCATGTCTATGGATGTATGTTTCCTTCCCTAATTTTTATCAAGCTCAAGACATCTGATATTGGTTTATGCTCTATTATTCCTCTACTGAAATAATGCACACAAAATCTTGTGCCAGCATAGCTCAAGGTCCTAAGCTTGTGTCTATAATTGTGGTGGGCAAACATGATTTGTTTTGGTACGTCATTATTATTTCAGCCCTTGGCTCCATAAGGAAGCTCAGTAGCTGTTTATCTTTAAAAAGATCTATAAAAAGTACAGTGGTGATCTGGCCTTGAGTCACCTTAAGGCCTTCACTTAACAGTATACCTGAGAGTAGAATCTAACATATAAAGGAATGGCTTTCTCTAAGGGCTGAAAAGGCATATTCTGTGGTGGCTTTTTATGATGGCGCTCTATTGTCTGGATCAGGCATATGAGCAGACTGAAAGTTACTCTTTTTCTGCAGCCTTTATTTCCTTATTGGACAACTATGAGACATCAACTGGTGTAGCAGAAGTAGTGACTCCAGAAGAAATAGTTGAAAACAACCGTTTCCTTGATGCTGTCTTAGCAACACAAGTCATGAGAGTGAGTAACACAGATCTTTTTTGTCACTGAAAACACTGATTAAAAAGTAAACTGTATATATATCTTGCTTTTCTACCCTTCAGCTAGCTCATGACTATCTGCTGAAAAAAAACCTAGCAAGGCCAAACCTTGCAGATTTCAAACATCAGCTTTATGACATCTGGTTCCAGCTCTATGCCAGGAAAGAAGGAGACAGGTATGTTGGATAGGTGTGGGCAGTGATAATCTCTCTGCTATTCTGATTTAGGTAAATGTAAGCCTGAGTGCCATCAGCCACACATAGAACTGGAAGCCAGCTTCAGAATAGCTTCAGCATGACAGAGAGTGGGTTCAGATTGGATATGAGGAAGAAATTGTTCCCTGTGAGGATGGTGAGGCCCTGGCACAGGTTGCCCAGAGAAGATGTGGCTGCCTCTGGATCCCTGGCAGTGTCCAAGGCCAGGCTGGATGGGGCTCTGAGCAACCTGGGATAGTGGCAGGTGTCCCTGCCATGGCAGGGGGTTGGAATGAGATGGCCTTTAACATCCCTTCCAAATCAAACCATTCTATGGCTCTATGAAGTATATAAAATGCCTATATACTACAAAGTATATTATTTTTTTCTTCTTCATTACAGACCTGATTCTTGTGGGTTTGAACATGTTTTTGTTGGAGAAACAAGGCATGGTAAAGAGATCTTAGGTTTGCACAACTGGGTGCAATTTTACCTTCAGGAAAAGCGCAACCAGATTGATTACAAGGGATACGTAGCTCGGAAGAACAAAACCAGGGTAAGAACAAGCCTTTGGGGGCCGTTGCAAGTAAAACAAATGGATCCAGAGATAAAAGTTGTAATGAAACAAGTGTAATAATGCAATCATAGGCTCAGTGTTTTGAACAGCAGTAAGTATATACAGTACATAACTGTGTATAAGAAGAATGAACAATGACATGTCTTCTGGCTTCTTTTTTTATGAAAACTACTTTAAAATGTAGTGCTAGTGTTTACAGAATTGCAACACTGCTGAGGCTTAGTTGGGATAAATGATCACGTATGCTCCAGAGGTCAGAGAAAAGATTGTGCCCAGCTAGAGCACCCAGGCACACCAAGGATGACTAAATCTTACAAAGCTCTCAAAAATCTAGAATCAGAAATTCTATCTGTCCAGTCACAGCTGTGTTGGAGATAATTCTGTTGTTTCATTATGCTTTCAGCCTGATAAAGATGACCAAGTTTTGAGCATCCAGTTCAGCTGGAAGGGCTCAGTCAAGCCAGTCGGAAGCACCTTTATTGGTGTCAGCCCAGAGTTTGAATTTGCCCTTTACACAGTCATTTTCCTGCTGTCTGAAGAAAGAGTCACACGTGAAACAGTGAAGATAGATGAGTACGAGCTACAGATGGTTGTCTGGCGCCATGGGCACCACATTGGAACAGCATATCCAGTACTGCTCAGCACCACTAGTGAAGATTAGTGAGAGAGCAGGAAACTTCTTTTTTCAATTTGAGGGAAAGGAGGAGTGGTTGAGAGAGGAGGAATGGATGGGGGGTGGACAGGACCAGAGAGCAAAGTTAATATGTTGTTTTATACAACTAATTTCAAGTAAAAATTGATGACTCTGTCTCTTTTGGTCTGCAATGGAATGTTTAATCAGTAGTGTGTTGTGACACTGTCTGAGAAACCATGAAACATACTCCTGCTCACATTAAATTTACGTCTAAATTACATCAGTCTTCCCTTCTGCATGATAGTACTGTACTTTTCAGCAAATAATGGCATTTAGGAAAAGGTTCTATTAAAATTGATATACATATTTCTCTTAGTTTTTAGTCCCTGCATATCTAAAAATACAATAACCACACATTGCTTACACTTTACCTTCCCCACAGAAGCTTTGATTTGGCACAAGCAGAACTCCAGGATCTTTTAATCTCCTCTTCTCATTCCATAAGAGGTTAATTTCAAATACTTTATTACAATACAATGACCTGGACACACAGGGAACACATTTAGGTGAGGAGATGGTCATCAGATCCATAGCAGGCCTTAAAATGGATCTGATGACCATCTGTTTCTTTAACACAATTTTCGTATACTCCCTATGTGTTCCTGAATCACGTGGATGACAACTTCATGCTACAGGTCCTAAGAGGGCTGACTCGGAAAGATGCCCTCCCTCCTTGCTTTGTTGCTTGTCAACAGAGAGGATCTTGTGATCCTCCTGAGTGGAGATTGGCGGCTGTCTTGGCCACAGTGGCCATGAAGCCATTGAGTTTAAAATATCTGGCAACAGGAGGAAAAGTGCCAACAAAACTTCAACCCTGGACATGGGAAGAAGTGACTTCAGGCTGCTCAGGGAATCAGTAAGTAAAGTCCCCCGGTGTAGTGGTTTTGGTTCATCAATTTGAGATTTTTGAAATCTTGAATTTGAGATTTTGAGAAAAAAAAATTGAGGGTTTTTTTTTTTCCTCAAAATTTGAGATTTTTGAGAGTTGAGAAGTGATTTGAGAACCAACACACCTGGGAGAATGCTTTTGAAGGTCCTGGGGTCCATCAGTGCTGTGGTCACTTTTTAAGCACCAGCTCCTGAGGACACAGGAACAGGCAATTCCTAAAAATTGGAAATCACGCAGATGAGGCAGAAGGCCACCTTGGCTGAACAGGAATCTTCTTTTGGAGATAAGGTAAAAAAGGAAGGGGTATGCCCAGTGGAAGCAAGGTCAGGTGACGTGGAAGGAGTACGGAGATGCTGCTTACCACTGTAGGGGGAGAACTTGTGCTAAGGTAACCCACCCAGTTGATCCAAAAACATCAGTAGATGTAATTTTTTTGGATTTCAGTAAACCTTTGGATATAATCTATCTCAGTGTGCAGCCCACAGCTGGATAAACACATCATGTGATGGCTGAGCAACCTGCTCATGGGTCGAGCACAAAGAATGACATAACCTGGGTGACAGCTGACTGGCAGCCTATCACTTGTGGGGTTCTACAGGGCACTGCCTTAGGCCCCATTCTCTTAAAAATCCTCATAAAAAGCGGGAATGCAGGACAGAAAGGGATACTAAGTAAGCTTGCAGATAATACAAAAGTGGGAGAAGCTGCTGACTCCCTCAAGGGCAAAGAGGCTCTGCAGAGAGCCCTGGCCACCAGTTGTGTGAAGTAAACAAAGGCAAGGGCTGGGTTCTGCATCTGGACTGGGACAAACCTGAATGTACAGACAGACTGGGAATGAGAGGCTGGAGAGCAGTGTTGTGGAAAGGGACCTAGGGGTTTGTAAAGCTCATCTCTCGGGGCCTTTTGGGTCCCATCTCACTAGTTTTGGATGCTGGCCCCTCGCAGCCTTACAAGGACAAAAGTGAAAGACTTGAGGTGCTCTTCTCATCAGGACCAAAAATCCCACAGCTTTATTGTGGAATTACTCCAGAGGGTCCAAGGGAGGGCAAGAGGACCAGAGGAAAAAGAGACCAACTGTCTGATAACAGTGATTTTAAACCCAGGGGAAGGGGGTGGAGAAGAGGGAACACAGCCAATGGGATACAAGTGATGGGAGGGACCAGGGGAGGGGGTAACCTTGGGAGAGACCTCCACCAGGGCTTGGTGGGGTGGGGGGGAAGACTGTGTGACATAAGAGGGGAATCCCATGAGGATAACAACATACTCTTCAGTGCAAAACACAGACCCCGTGCAAAACAACAGCTAAATAAACTATTTAGTGCAATACAACAGGGGTTGACAAGGCCAGTTGGACATGAGCCGGCAGTGCCCTGGCAGCCAGGAGGGACAGCCCTGTCCTGGGGCACCGGGCCCAGCATTGCTGACCAGGCCAGGCCAGGCCAGGGAGGGGATTGTCCCGCTCTGCTCTGGGCTGGGGCAGCCTCACCTTGAATACTGTTTGTGATTTTGGGTGCCATAATATAAGAAAGCTCTAAAGCTGCTTGAGAGTGTCTAAAGTAGGGTTTTGAAGATGGTGAAGGGCCTGAAGAGAAAGCCACACGAGGAGCAGCTGAGGGCACTTGGTCTGTTCAGCCTGAGAAGAGCAGACTGAGGTCAGAGCTCACAGCAGTTCTGCAGCTTCCTCATGAGGGGAAGGGGCGGGGCAGGCCCTGATCTCTGCTCTGTGTGACCAGGGACAGGACCTGGGGAATGGCTGGAGCTGGGTCAGGGGAGAGGCAGGGTGGGTATCAGGGGAAGGTTCTTCCCCCAGAGGGTTCTGGGGCACTGAACAGGCTCCCCAGGGATGGACATGGCACCGAGGATGACGCTTTCATACGCAGGGCCCGATTATTGGAGTGGCCAGGGGTTAGACACAAGATGGCTGTGGGTCCATTCGTACACAGAATATTCTGTAAAAATTTGAAATGAACAGAGAGCAAGGGGTTCCTATACCTTTTGAAACATCACAAGGGGCTGCTCAGGCTGGGATTCACAGGAGGAGCCATTGGACAACACCAAGAATGGACTAGCTGAGAGATGCTGCTGAAGGAGTTCAACCTTCCCTGCAGCAACAGGTCTCGTATAGGACTGCAAGAGAGGCTGCAGTCAGGTTCTGCTGTAAATTTGAAACACAGGGGATCAGAGGCAGATATCAGCAATGTCAGGTACAGAAGCACAGAGCAGTCGCACAGCTGCTCTGGGGTGTAGAAAGCAACTCTGGGGAAGGTCAAAGGCACTCGGTTTCCTCCAGACTGGGGAATGTCCCTGCAGCCAAGGGCCCCAGGTCACACTGCACGCCTTGACAACTCTTCAGAGTCCTGCTTCATCTTTGCGTAGGTGGCAGGGCAGAACTGGGAATAGAGCTGAGCCAGCAGAGCCTGGGACGGGATCTCTAACTTGGTCCCGTGGCTCAGTTTGTTCCATATGTGCACTGCATAGGTGTTCTTAAGGAGTTTCTGAAGCTCCAAGGCACTGATTGCCACAAACAACTTCTTCCAGTCCTGCCAGGGAATAGGATAAACAACTTCTTGGGCAAGAGCATTCACACCTTTGCAGCTCATGCTTGTGATAGTCCCAAGGGAGCACCACTTCTTGAAGACACGAGTTAGGAGCTCTGGGCCTTGGTGCCCCCAGACCCAGCCATTGTAATTCTGCACAAAG